ACATCCGCTTCGCTACTGGTCAGTTCACTGATTTGACCAGCGAAGTGGATGAAGCGGATCAAGCGGATCAAGTACGACGCGTGCCTAAGTAGCTCCATACTGTTATTGATTTCTACTGACACTATACATAACCAGCGCTCGGTGCGTCGACCGCATTTAGAGTGTGAGCTCCAAGATTGGTTTCTTGAAATGCATTAGTGTGGAAGTTATGAAAATTCACCTGTGCTTGTTCAGCAAACTATATATAATAGATTTTATGGGTAAACAAACTCACAGCAAGCTCCTTGTTGATGTCACTACATTTTTCACCATAATAAATGGTAGCATATTGTGTCCATTCGTAGTGCATGATCACTTCGTAAAGTGCTAGCGCATAGCTGCAAGTACGCTGGTAAAAACGACTACCATAGGCATGACTGTGCCAGCTCACTGTCGCCCTGTGGTGGTCATTGTCGTAATGGACGGGTAACGTTCCGACTCGCTGTCGCTTGAAGTTGCCAAACCCCAAGCGAATGTAGGAATGTTATAGTACGTAGAAAGGGGAACCACAGCCTTTACTGCTGTAATCAAAATGAGCGTAATCTACATTGTTCCCAAATGCGGTGGGAACATACATGTAATGCATGCCGGCCCGATAATTGCGACAACCTGCTGTTTTATCAGTTCAGCAGTGGTACCGGAGCTAACTATATCCGAACAATTTCCGGGCATGTATATGAACCTACAACGGCAATAGTGATACACTGCATAATGTGCGAACAAGTTAGATTGCAGCAAAACGAAAGAACTCACTTAAGGTCATAACCATTCAAAAGCTGTTGTTTCTTTAGTACATCATTCCCCAATTCCAAAGCTCCGGCATTTGTTTCATAAGAAATCGTCTCAGCGAACTCAGGCTTACCTTTGGTGATTATCACCCCAATCAACAAGTCTTTTCCTCTGCATTCGCAGAAGATTACCTGGAACAGTTCAGAAGTAGAAGAAGTTTTACACCAAGTTGCACCAACACTGAGTTATCAAATTTCAATTCCTTCTATACTTCATGCCCTGTTCTCATAATTAAGAGAAGCTCAGCATTAGCATGTGTCAAGCATTGTAAAACATTGCCCCAAGTTTCTGAGCATTTCAGTCCCCACGCAATTTGGCAATTGTCTGATTGTCCATTCCAAACTTGTAGGGTCTATGCAGAATATGTAAGTTTGTAAATTGTTAGATTTATCTATATTAAGTATATTTAAGTTATGCGATGAGATATAAAAATTGGAATCGCGCTAAAACTAAGTGGACTGCATGTTCTACGGCTACAATCTATGAGTGAATGAGACATTGCTTTTGAAAGAAATGAGAGACAAACAACAAAATTCAGCTTTTCCTTAAGTTGTAAACGGTAAGACATTTTATTTTTGATTAGAAGTGAGAACTGTCAAA